GGGACAAGTCGAGAGATCATGTCAGGAAGATGATTATGTATTGCTGATATGTGTGTAATGTTAAAAGCGAACTTAGCAATAATGCCATGCCAGCGGCTGACCAACTGTGAACCAGGGTTCATATCCTTTAAATATGTTAAAGACTTTTGATCACAGGCGACAGTGAAGTAACTTCCATAAAGGTAGTCTTTAGACTGTCTTAGCGGAATAACAATAGCAAGGAGCTCTTGTTTAACGGTAGGGTAATTCCGTTGGCTCTTATTATAACTCTTGCTAAAGAATTGTATGCAACGTGGTTTACCATTTATCGTTTGGTGTAGCACTTCACCTACCGCTCGATCTGAAGCGTCGGTTGTTACTTGGAATGGGACGCCATCCACAGGGTATTGCATGATGGGTGCGTCCATTACTTTACTTTTGACTAGCTTAAATGCATCATCACATTCTTTAGTCCAGAGCTTGCCCAAAGGTCCTTTGTGCAGCCATAGGTGACTGAAAGGCTTTAATTGATGAGAAAGATGAGGTACTGAATCCGGAAGAAGTTAACAACCCCACACACAGAGTTCATATCTCTTCCAGTAATCGGTGTTGATAAATCCAACAGAAATTGTTTCTTGCCAGGATCAATTTCTACCCCTGCTGCAGATACCTTGTAACCAAGTAAGTGTATATTATCTTTAGCAAAAGAACACTTGTCCTCGTTAATCTTAAGCTTGGCTTGGTTTAGTCGCTTTAAGACTCCTTAACGAGTTTAGCATGTTTATGTGCTGTCTTTGTAAAGATAACTATATCATCTAACTATGCTGATACGTTTTTCGACAGGTCCGCAAACAGTTCCATCATAACTTGTTGAAAAAAAGAAGGTAACATGTGTAAGCCTTCAGGTGCACCTTTAAACTGGTATTTCTTACCTTGCCAAGTAAAGGATAGGTATTTCCTATGCGGCTCATATATTTGTAAGGGGAAGAAGCGTAAATCAGCTTTCCTAATCCCAACCGGCAACACCAGACCATCGAGATCAACGCGCAGTAAAGGAGAGAGATAACCCGTAGCATGCAGAGTAAAGCAATCTGAGCAGATACTGTTTCAGATGTCTTTGAACTTCTTAAAGTTAAGACGGATTCTCCAGCATACTGCATGCAACTTGAAGCACTTAAACGGGGAGTGAACAAGCCTTGCGCTGGCTTTTCATCTGCGAACGCAAGTCACTGAGGGCCGCCATGGCTCCGTCCATGGAGTACCTATGACGCTGTGGCTCTTTTCCTTCACCAAGGGGTCAGCACATGTGTGCTGCTCAACAGTATGCACATGCTCTTCTCTTAAGAACACCAAAATCTGTGTCAACCCAGTAAATCGATAACTGTGACGCACATACGAGCCCGTACGTTTGTCTTTTGCAAACAAGCGTTCCAAAAAGACACCCATAGAGTCGTGCACCAGATCCAAACTTGTCATGGCAGCGTTTCTGTACAAAGGTTCGACCTTCATCAAGCCCAAAAAGAAGCTCGCATGAGAGCTTAGGAAACACTCCAACGTATGACCAGCGATCTCACCTTTCCGTGTTGTCACCTTCGCTGCTTTCACTAGATGCTCACGCATAACCTGCGCTGCATCATCTACCGCCCTAAAACCTTGCAAGGGTGCACCTCTCGAAACTACCCCAGACTTCGCTAGACGCTTCGTGAGAGCATACACGTGTTTACCTAAACGCACCCCCAGCTCGCGCGTCTGCAATCGCCGCCAAGCCAAACAGCCCCGCTGCGTTGTTAGCCGCACTGTTCGACGCCTATCGATCCATCAACTTAAACAAGTTACGGGCCATTAAATCGCCCAAACACCATAAGTTTGAAGATTGTGTAGCATTCATTCGATCGTCTCAGACCCCCCAATCTATCAGTCGTTCCTAACATCAAAATCCTCGGCTGTGTAAACAACATGGCCAGCATTTGATTGTGTCTTGCTAGCACCACCGAGTCCGCTATGCCTACCTCCAGCTATCTATCACCAAGGACCATGCGAATATTCGCTTGGTCCGCCGTAGTAAAACCATTCACGAAGTAGTCAATTCCCGCATGCACCTGCTTCACACTCGGCACGGTAATAGTAATAAGATTACGAGCACGACGCTCCTTAATCCTCTGACCATCAAATTCACCCATCCATGAAAATCCCCATCCTTCAAACCCTCATCTAGCATCTAGGGACCAGATTATCAAACAGCCAATCCAAAACCCAAAACCCAGAATAATCAAATATTGAGTTTTGGAATTAGGATTGGAATATTTCTGTTATTAGAGTCATCAGAAAAGTTAGCGGTAGAACCGGTAAGCAATACCGGGACTCCGCGTGAGAGAGAAACACTCAAGTAAATCCTGAGTCTAGTGAAAACACAAATAGAGACTAAGTTCGGTTCTCTCAGACTAGAGACTTGTCCTAGCTGAGATAGCCGTACTTGAGAAGAGGTATATTGTATCTTTTGTCTCATACCTTTCAGCTACAGCCCATACTCTACATTTGTTTTTACAATATCCTTACTTAGATAAGTCAACAAGGATCTTAACACACTATAATAGGTGTAAGAGGTGAAATAGAATACATTCCTGTCGTAAAGAAACTCTTGTTGTGATATAAACTTTATTACAAAAGAGAGGAGCCGAAGAAAGCAAAGGAGACCTGAAAAAGAAAGAGGGTCCACGGTCGAAAAAGAAGACAATATCCTGAGATTGCGGAAGACAGGAAGAAGAAGAGGGGAACCCCTAAAGCGATAGAAGAGCCTTGGCACAACAACCAAGGTGAACAGAACTTGTTTCAGATGTAAGCGGGACACGTGACAAAGTGTGACAAGCTGTATTGTGAACAAGGAAGTAGAATGTGTGTGAAAACAAGATAATTGTCACATTGATTAATTAATCAATGTTAGGGATTTTTGGGACAATTTTCGAACAAGAAAATGTATTGAAATCAGGGACCCCTGCACAACAAACGCGCGATACACACAGGGTATAACAATACAGAGAACGGTATCATACATGGCAACTTACACGAATGAATCATTACAATGGGCGGTGAATTATTAGCTAAAAAAACTACACACAGTAGACAAACTAGCGAGTCCGGGCTTATACACCAATTGGACAAAATACGAGCATAAGATCTACAACCGATAGACGAGAAAATAGAGCGTACACGGCAGATCAATGGGCTGCCACCTCAATTCACTGAAGAAGAATAAATTCACAACATCCAACTATACCAAGTGGACAATTAAAGGCCGTTAGGACACTTAGATACAGCGCACAAGCTGGTTAACAAAAAAAAAACATCCTAACACGCATGTACAAACAACATGAGTAACTGATTCAAGTTGCGCAAGACATTTAGAAATCTAGTCGCGGAAAAGCAATTAAAGCATCTCAAGTCTTAGTATTGGCAAGGAGGACAAGAAGACTTATTATTAATACGAAGAGACAAAGAGATTTATGATGTTCAGTAATATCACAGACACACGATAAAAGGGTGAAGAAAAAATGTGTAAGGCAATCCACCTGCAAGAACATGTAACACCAAATCAATAGTGTTTAGCAACATCATAGAGGTCTACCCAACAATACCATACTTCGGGGCAAGTTTACATAACAAAAAGAATAGTATCACTAAACATCTAAGAACACACGCGCAAACCCGGGACCTACACAGAATGGTCATTTGCTAATCATACGAGGAATTCACATCTAAAGACATCTCCATCCACCATTTTATAAATAGTATAGTACGCATGATACTATAAGAACAATACAAATACTATACACAAGAACGTCTCGCACATGGTGAAACAAGGGCAGTAAAGTCTCTAGAATATAATACTCGGAAGTCTTGGCATTAGATCAGACCAAAGATATCATAGACATCGGAAATGGGACACAGTCCAAGTCCAACACACATAAAATATACCGGGACACTCCAACTCATGAAAACATAAAGTGAACAAACACCGACCTGACTGAGTATACCAAATACGAGGAACAGTAGAAAGGAAGTTGAAACGGTTAGGACATCACATCATATTGCAATCACGCAAGACATCAGATGAGTAGTCATATAGGGACAATACAACCTATATTAACATACAAAAAAACAGATAACAACCTGATTGAGTATGTTGAATACATAAAACAATCGCGAAAGGTAGTGTCGATATTTCAGTCTGTCTCTAGCACATAGGATACAAAAGTACTACACTGAAACGTTAAATATGGAATTATTTCAACACACACATGAACACAAGTATAGAGATTCCACAATCTATATTGGTATACGAACAAACTAAACAATCAAAGAGAGTATACCCGATAATAAGAACAATCAAGACAGACAGTTTAAACATATAAGTTGACAAAGCCCAGCGAAATTATGCAGAACATTACATCAACATCTGAGGATTACCATAACGAACACATATATGCTTTAACATAAACTGGTTCGAGAAGGATAACACATACCACAAGCACACTGCTTGAAATACACTACCCACACTAAAAGGTACCACATTCCCTTCGGTAAAGTGAATATAATAATAGTTCGGTACAGGCCCGCACATAAAGAAGTGACGTCACCAGGACCGAACATCTCATTGAGACCACACTTGAGAATTTAATTTCTCATATGACAGAATAATCACAAGTACGTCCATACATGACGAAATAAGCTTGACTAACAAACACCATTCACACCCTCATAAATACAGGGAACAACGCAACGAGCTACCATACCATACGGGACGATAAACACTTCTCACGGAAGTGCAGCAAAGCAACAACACTACAATAGTAAGTAAAAGGAATTCAAAATTTTATTTTTTTTATACGAATTATTACTAACGATAAGGGGGGGTGAAGCCCGCATTCGCACAGTATATAGCTAGAATCTTTATTAATAACCTGCAATACCCACGCACCAACACAGACATCTCAAGATGCCAACGGCAACCAGAGCAGGCGTGTATGGTGGTGAAGAAGGGAGTGAGGGCTCGGATGACGCGCGCGTCAGCCGATTGGGGGGGGCCAAGCTCAGGCAGCGGCTCCGGCCAGCCTACACCGGCTGGGGTACCCATATTAGCCTCAGCGATGCGCCTAGAAATAGATAAGAGTATCTGTCAAGACAACTACGCCCTGATTAGTTGGTTTGTATCCAAATTGGACCAAACGGTATCTGTGCCAATACCTACTCTACACAAGATGAGAGTCATTCATGATCAACAGCCAGAACGACGCATGCCACTGGTGGATGCGGAACTCAGACGACGATATGATTTAGCTATCAACGATTGTGGAGACGATGAGGAAGATGATCTCATTCAGATAAGTCAATACACTAGTGAGTCGGAGCTCATGCGTTCACGCTTAGATGACCAGATAAATGAACCACCTCTTGATAAAACTACTAAAGACTTCAGAATTTCCTAAACTACCTAAAGATAGCTACTTTAAAATGGAAAATTGCGAAGACATTATAGAGTTCACTACGCAATGTAGAGACCTATTACCTATTAGATTCCACTGATACCAATGAGAAGACCAAATCAGTCCTCAATAACTTCAAGAGACTCTGAGACGCATACGACTAAGTACTTCAAGGAGCCTGAACAATTCAATAGGATCATTATTGACAGACTCAGGCCCCACCCAGTAGACTATCTGTTGGAGAAGTTCTCAATGACATGCAGAACAAGAAGCTGAACGTCGAAGTGCGCACAGAGCGTTCGCATAAGACAGTGACGATGTTAGATAAGCGTTTCCGCAACTCAGACCAGGGATCTATACACTTTCAACTCCTCAAAGTACAAAGGCACCAAGCACTTATGTACTACGGACAACAATCACAGGTCGATGCTTTACTCAAGGCAGACAAGCAACCTGATGGAAGTGTAGGGCATTTATCAGATATAGAACACATTAAGTTTCATTCTATGACAGAGGCAAACATAAGAGCGGCAGCCAAGGTGCAAGGAGATCGAACGTTGAGGGAGTAGTTGCAAGTGCAAGACAAGCGTCAAAACGCACAGACAATCATCAACGCTGGCAATATCACTGCTTCTACTAACACAAGGCATGAACCAGATAATGGTGCACTCAATCAAACCAAACCACCAGGTCAAGCCCAAGATAAGAAAGGGGCGCGTAAGGAACGTCCATGTCCCTATTGTAAGGTGATACCATCCCCACGTCGATTCAGTCTATGTCCCAAGAAGGCTTCGAATCAGGCCAAGCAGGCTGAGGCGCAAGTCAAGAAGTATGTGCAAATAGCAAGACTGTCCATTACCTCTGGCAAGGTAGAAGACATCACAGAGGGTGATGAGCACTGAAACAACTGGTGGGCGGATGCAAACATGATTGACCTGGCTGACAGGCTTAATGTATATACAGATGAAGAAACGTTTTTAATAAATGCAAATAATTTAAATTACCAACCTTTATCCTTACTTCCCGCACCACGAGACCAACGCTTACACATTGATATGCAAATTAATAGCAATACATACAATACACTAGTAGACTCGGGCGCACAACGCTCATGCATGGACAAGAGTGTAGTAACATAACTATATCTTTCCGTCAGAGCGCAACCGGGTTATATACAACTGGCACAAATAGATACAAGATTACAACGCACAGGATCAACTGAAGTTTGTGACATTAATTCGTGCTGCTCGTTGCTGTCCAGGAAAAACTCTGGAAGGTGCTGTATTTCCTTCGGAGAGGCTCCGAAAGTACGATTGGAGACTGATATCCTATCCCAGGTCGCTCAGCTCCTTTGCCTGCGATCGTAAATGATGTCTCATCCTCCGATGATTCCATCGGCTGCAGTTGTTTCAACCGTTGCTCATACTTCTCCAGTAACTCCTGCTGCTGTCTCATCAACTGTTGGGTTGTTAACTGTCGCGCCTTAGCTTGCTTCGACTGCCGACGGCGTGGTTTCGGGCGTTTCAGTGGTCGTATTGTCATTGTTGTCCTACGATCGGCTACCTGACTCACCTCCCTGTGTCTGTGATCCTGTGTCTCCTCCTGTACTGGCCCCTCCTGTCGCGGTGTGAGTGAGTTGCTCGGTTGTTACTGACGAGTCAAAAGTGCTTGCCGTAATATCTCCTTATTCGCTTGGATTTCAGCGTCTGTCTGCGTATCCGATATCCCTGCAACGTTCTACGAGTCGGACTTCTCGTGGGGCGTGCCTTGGCTTGCTTCCGGGCGTTTTGCACGACGTGGTTCCAAGTACTGACGTCCCTGCGTCTCTGGTGCCAGTTGTTGTTGACGTTTACTTTGACGAAGCGATGGCATAATGATCACCTGGGTTCCTTCTGATATATTCTTGGCTGTAATCGTAAAGTTATGACCCTTCCCCTGTCAACGCCCGTATTTATATCAACGTCTCGTGTGCGGTAATATGTCTCATCTCGTTCCTTGCTGATACCAACCTTAACAGTGTGCCTCAGGTCGTTCTATGTTGGCCTCGACCCTAATCTACCATTCGGGTCTTACTCCCGTACCTCGTGTGTACTCTCGGCCTCGAGCCTTATTTCATGTCGCGTGCCGACTCTTGTAGTTACTCTCGTAATAAATTTCATACGCTCCGTCACTTCACGACCAAACTCCATCTACTCATGCTCGTCTGACCTGAACCGTTCTTGTCCGTCGCCGACGTCATCCACTTCTCGAAGCCAAGCTACCATCCGTCTCACTGATGTTCCTCCATCTTCACATAGTCCTATGTAACTATCCTCCAGGTTACACCTCATTTCTGTACGTACCATACCCCATGTCTCTTTGTACCGACCGCTTTTCTAAGTATCTACATTAGTCAATTTGCTTATAGCAATTATCCTTGAGTTATCCGATTCTCTTCACCGTATCACCCTGGTTCCTACAATGCTCTGTACGCATGTGCTATCTCAATGTACGTACTATTCCGAGGTATTCACATTCCATGTGCCTCTATCCTGGTGTACACACAAATATAGACCTCCTATGTATATTATATATACTCTCTGTTCCCCTCCCTGATATCCTCTTCTAACCATTGTCACTCGCACTGTTTAGTATTTTACGACACCCATCTTTTTCTTGCATAAGTCACCATTTTCTCTCCATTGTCTGACATCCTAACCTAATTCCCACGTGTTCGAAGTTTTCAGCGACTTACCAGCCTCAATACTTTTCTTCTTACCTCATCTATTCATTTTTTGTCGGAACGTGTTATCGCTGTCTTCGGAATCTCCAACTCCTTCTGTTCGTCTTCATTCGAGATGTCGGTGCTGACCAATATTCTTGATGTCTCATTCGTGTTATTTATCCTGTCTGAATGACTTCGTTGTTCCATGTCCGGAGGCCTCTCTGCTATCCGCGCCTGTTTCCTTTCCTCTGTCTGTTTATCCTCCCCATAACTTAACCATTGTCTCTGTAATATTCTTTGTATATGTATCAGCCTTCGTCGTATTGTCTGGTTTACACTTTGGTTTCGTGGTCCTCCATGCTCCTTGTTGAAGCCGTTTCGTCTCTTCTCCTTAGTAGCTCTCTCTCTCCTTCGTTGTCAACACTGCTGTCTGATAATAACGACGGCTTACTTGCTTCACTGATGTATATCCCGCTATCAACCGATTCCTGGCTTATATTATCTCCCTGTCCTTCCGTTATCGTCATGGGTGGGTTCGACCAAACCCTTAATTATTCTTCTGACATGTCAGCAAAAATCATCGTTGTTTTCGCTTGTACTTATCGTACCCTTCCTGGGTTCCTATCTAGATTCCTAGTCTTATTTCTCTAAGATATTCAATTCCTGACCAAGCTCTATCAGCTAGTTAAAAAGGTAGTAAAACACACTTCAATAACTATATCTCAACGTAACCCCCTTTACAGAGGTTGGTCGTTGGTTATTTGTTGAATATCTTTGGTTCATAAAACCATGTGCTTATTTGATCAGAAATATTGATCAAATAAACCCGAAACCTAGTTTACAAATTCGATCAAAATAAACCAAACAGCCCTAATCCTGTATTCCTGGCCGCAAACATCCTTACTTACATAAGACAAACATAGATAGGGCTCACACAACACATAGACAGCATGTGAGCAAGAAAATAGTTGGCTATGCTGTATGGTGGCGGAAGATATGGTGAACTAAGATGATGATAGCAACATGTCTGAAAACGATGAAATAATGCCATTAGTGGATGATGAAGTCAGTGATGACGACATAACTGACCAACGATGTAGAGGCTGTTAGAGCATAAAGTAGTAGACTTTAAATAAAGTACAAATGGAAGTGTTTATTTCTGACCTCCCCTTTGGTTTAATACCTTAGGTGTTTGTGCTAGTGTTCAGCCGCTTGGGTTGGCCAAAATAAAGTCTCTTAACCTTATGCAAAACACTTTAACACATCGATGCTATTATATTTCGACTTCTCTGCAAATATATCTCACGCTGATCACATGATGCCTTTCCGCATAGGTTGTGACTCACATAGGGACGCAGCTATTTTTAGAATGTTGCGGTTGACAAACTTAATCAACTCTCGGGAGTCGATTGAGAAACTTAATCAGCTCTCGGGAGTCGATTGAGAAACTTAATCAGCTCTCGGGAGTCGATTAAGTATTAACTCAACTCTCGGGAGTAAATTTAGCAACTTGATTAGCTCTCAAGAGTGAGTTAACTCTGATGTTTTCTATAAATCAAAGAGGGTTCCTTGCTGTAAAATCTGGTCTGAGACCTGTAGTCTCTCAGAGGCGGAGAGCTTCCTATATGTAGGAGGCAGATGTGTTTAGAAATCCAAAGACGTCAAGAAGTCAGGTTGAAGGCAGATGGCCATTGTTTTGCCTTGCAAGTACGTGGCGACTTTCAAAGATTAGCGGGAGCGATCAGTGATGGAAGTATTAATATACTCAGTGGTGCTTACTGGGAGGCGGTAAATACAGTAGAACCTAGTATACCAAGCACATATAGTGACCAAAGCATAAGCGATGATGAAGTCTCTGATGACACCAGCAGTGAATGCTACAACCCCATAAGACCACACTACTGATATTATCAATAGCAGTATCGTCTATACCAGCGTATACCACGCCGCTACTGCTGGCGAAAATAATATCAGTACAGGAGAGCACTAGTGTACAGAAACACAGTTTCATTCGATGAAGTAGCAGGACACATGTTGCAAATGATCACGTCCTGTAGAGACTCAAAAATATCATTCTGTCAGTTCTTACTGATAAAGCAAGCTATCAACCTAATATGTCAAAGAGTTAAGCGTATGGCAGCGTGTAGAAGTGATCATACAACTAGCTACAACTCTGCGATTCTTATCAGTCGGTCGGAATACCGATTTGAGGTGTACGTATGTCACGCAAGCTGTAGAGTATGGAGAGTAGCAGAAAGACACGAGTCGAAGGATACAATAGACCTCTTCTCAAGTACGGTTCTCTCAGCTAGGAAAAGTCTCTAGTATGAGAGAACCGAACTGAGTCTTTGTTTGTGTTTTTACTAGACTCAGGATTTACTTGAGTGTTTGTCTCACACGTGGAGCCCCGGTATAGTTTACCGGTTCTACCGCTAATATTTCTGATGACTCTAATATCATAAATAATTGAACCCTAATCCCAAAACTCAGTATTTGATGATTTTGTGGTTTTGGTTTTGGATTGGCTTTTGATAATCGGGTCTCTAGATGCTACACCTAAATACATTGGTTTTTATTTGTATATAAAATAATTTAATACAAGTTCTTTTATGGAGAGTAGCAGAAAGACACGAGTCGAAGGATACAATAGACCTCTTCTCAAGTACGGTTCTCTCAGCTAGGAAAAGTCTCTAGTATGAGAGAACCGAACTGAGTCTTTGTTTGTGTTTTTACTAGACTCGGGATTTACTTGAGTGTTTGTCTCACACGCGGAGCCCCGGTATAGCTTACCGGTTCTACCGCTAATATTTCTGATGACTCTAATATCAGAAATAATTGAACCCTAATCCCAAAACTCAGTATTTGATGATTTTGTGGTTTTGGTTTTGGATTGGCTTTTGATAATCGGGTCTCTAGATGCTACACCTAAATACATTGGTTTTTATTTGTATATAAAATAATTTAATACAAGTTCTTTTTCCAACATTTCCAAAGTGTTCGAAATTCACTTTGATGGCTCCAATAGCCTGAGTATTTGGTATGACTCATTTACTTGGACCTATTTGAGACGATAGTAGATGTAGGATATTATAAACTAAATTTTATAATCTCTGAACTACTACCTATAGGTTTTGGTCTTCCCGCCAATCTCCAAAATCCAACAAGTCTTTTTCTTTTTTTAACTTTTCTTCAGATGGAACTTTATTTATACTAGTTAATGTATTAACATGACTTACGTTCTTATGTCTATCTACAAATTAGACATGTGGTCATGAACACTTAGTACTTCTAGTGAAAATTATTCAATAAAGAACAGCTAGAGGTACGTCCTGTGTGATCGAGGATATTAAGGCTCTTATCAAGAGGCAGTCGCGATCACACAAGCTACCACTGCTAAATCCTAACTGATTTAAATTGTATTTTAGTTTATATAACATAGTTTAAAACATGGAAATATCCATCGAAGTTTACACTATTCTGTCGACTGTGATGGTGCCATGCTACACGCTAGTGAGGCTGCGGTTGCTCACTGACTTCAAAGTGCCTACGCAAAGTTCAATGCGCCGTGTCCTCAGGGTTGCTCGCCACTGAGTTAGAGTCAACAGGGTGCTCACCTGTACTCTAAGCATATATATATACTTGCCACACACAACCAGCACTCGTGTAGCTAGACCGCACGATCCACTACTAGGTAGAATTCTCTGAACCTTCTATATTGGGATCACCACTCATGGGCGGCTTTCTCTGAACCTTCCGCGCTGGGCAATAATGCCGGCCTTGTAATGTTTGATCGATTACAATTTGTTTGTAATAATATGCTATGTGCGACGCACAGCGC